CGGGAGGAACCGGTTATGTCTCTAACAGACTATATGTCATATACTGGAGGACTGTTTGGTCTATGGTTTGGCACTAATGGCAAAGACTTTATTATTTGGTTAACACTGAAAATCCGTTTGTTATGGATTTGGTTTGCAATGAAATACAATCAATATTTCACTCAAACTAAAGTATATGTTATTACAAATTAATGTTGAAATACATAATAAAAGAAAACATTCTTAGTTGATGACTAATTTTAAGTACAGATCTAGATCAAAATTACGATCTTGTACTCATATTTGAAAAATTAAAATAAAATAGATTGCTTTAATTATTACAATTTAAATAAGTAACATATTTAATTATCCTGTTTTATATATAACTTAAAATTTATGGTGTAATTATTTTTAAACTGTATAAATAATACATTTAATTGATTTCATAATTAATTAGTAATATAAAATTTCCATATGTTCTCAAATAAATGTAAACAATTGTATCATTCAACACGATTATTTAAAAACCAATATAAGTTTTGTATTAATAACCTATTTGGACTAATCTAGATTAATTATAAATTCTGTAAAATTTGAAATTAGTTGAGTGGTTTTAAAATTAATTAGTCGAAAAATGAGTAAACTATTGTTATATATTGTAGTTGTCATGAGCAGTTACTTGCTCAATTTTTTTGTGATGATAACTTAGAGTTTGATTCGTTTGCATGACTACCGTGTGTCCCCAATAAGACGGACACATCTATTGTGGATAAAGTGGTTGAATTCGAACACAACGAAACCAAATCATCCGGAAAGTTTGCGTTAGAAAACAAAGTTTGTTAACATATTTACTGTCATTTTTAGTGAATACGTATTTTCAATAAATTTCATATTTTTAGTTCAAAATTATTTGAAGAAAGCCGACGTGAGCGCCTACACCAAAGTGGACCTGGCTAATGATGAACGCAAGCTGATTTTAATAGGGTATTGCGATCAAAAGTTTGTAGATTGTGGTAGAGAAGAGTTTATGAATAATCAAGCTTTTAGGGATAACCAGGAACAGTTTAGCAAGTTGGCAAACAAAACTGAGCAGGAGATATATGATGTATGTAATGTATAATAATTTTATTTGTTATATTGATACCAAAACTAGTATAGTAGTAATATAATTTTCTATATTTACAGTGTCTTATGAATATTTTCAAGAAGTAATATCAATGATAATTAACCTGAACAAATCATTTTAAAATAAATATTATATTTATATATTTATACACTTATTTAATATGTTTTAATTAAAACTTAAAAATTAATTATTTATTAATAATAATAATTTGAAATGATTACATTTTTGAATATGATCACGTAGAAATATTATGCACCTTTAATATTTATAAGATTTATTTTATAAAATAATAAGTAATATCCAACACAAACAAGATTGCCGTAAATATTAATAACAATTAAAAACACTACAAACATTCGGCAATAAAATTTAACTCAATAATCTTATTACCCTTAAAGGCACTGCTTTCTGTTTTATAAATATATCCTGATCATTTGCTGACATTAACTTTTTCAAAATATTTCCGAAATTCCTTGATTCCACACAAATTAGTACTATATTATAAGTAAACTCCGATTGCGCCATACAGTTGTCATTACATTTCGATATAACAATACTGTAGTATGATTGCTTAATAAATATTTAATAAAATACAAATATAACTATAATCATATAATATAATTAAATGTATAGTAAATATTATTTATACAGGTTTTTCATTTAATAAGAAATTTTTTTAATATAATAATCATTGTCAAAGCTTGCATATTGCACAAAATCAAATATAATTTTTTATATCAATATTCATTTCAAAAGTTTAAATTATTATTTTCTAATTATCAATTTATTATAAATACTAGACAGTTTCAATTAATCTAGTAATTTCTTTATAATTTTTATAAATTAGGTCCATAGAAATTTTTAAAATACGGATCTAGGCAAATTAGAATTAAAAGCTATAATTTATTTTTACCCACATTTACGCAGTAAAAAAA